CGAGATCGAGAGATATCGAGAGAGATCTTGGAGGTCAGAGGGACAACCTTTAGGAGTTTCTCTCTTCTTCCACTGCCTTGACCCTGGGGACTGAACTCAGTCTTGGTTATTCTTGGTTAGTTAGTCTTGGTGACCTCTGAGCCATTGCTGACCAACCATGGTTTGGTTTCACTCCCTCCTAGATCATGTGTTCTGCTTCCCTGAATGCAAGATTCTCTCCCTTGGATGTTAGTTGTTAGGAATTTCATTGTGCTCCATTCTTGATATTTTTCTATTTCTGTCCATACCATGGAACATTCTTCTGGATCTCAGTGAAGGCATCTGGAAACAGGAACTTGCTCTCATCAGTTTAGCTTTGTTGAGTAGAACTGGAGCGGCATTTGGCCCAGGGTTAATTTTCTTTCTTTGCACCAAGTTTCTCTTCAAATAAGAGATTTTCTCCTTCTGTTGCTGGTAACAGACATACTTGGGCCTTTATGATCTAAGGGCACTGCTCTTGTCCCCCCACCAAAAAAAAACCCCACAAACTTCCTTTGGTTTTTTTTTTTTTTTTTTTTTTTTTTTTAGTACCACAGTTGTCTCCTATATGTGGCTAATCAGCATTTGCTTTCACAGAATTCTGAGTTGTGATTTTGAATAAAGTCTTAATGGAAGTATTTCATTGAAAGTATACATTGTGGCAACTTTTAGCAGTTGTGTAATCATTTGGATGCAGAATACACAATTCATCTCTGGCATACTGTTCACCCCTTGGCAGTTCATCTTTCTCATAACCTTGTTCCTGTGAACAGCCGATTTCTTGATATGTTATAAAGCTCTTGGCATTTTAGAGTTTTATAAAGATGAAATCACACAGTAGGCATTCTTTGTACCTTGGGCCTATCAGCATGATGATTTTGAAGTTTCCTGGTGTTATCTGTAGGAGTTTAGTCCAGATACGATCCTGACAGTGTTCCATTGTACGGAACTGTTTGTGGTTTAGCCACTTATTGATATACCCAGCCTGTGTTCATCATCTTTCTGGTGCCGTGACAAAGTAATTGAGAACAACAATTTCAAGAAGGCAATTTCTATTTTGGTTCATAGTTTTTGTCCATAGTTCCTTGGTTCTATTGTTTTGGGCTTGAGACAAGGCATACATCTTGGCAGGGAGCACCTGGCAAAGCACCTGGGCATCTCTTATTTGAAGAGAAACTTTGTACAAAGAAGAAAAATTAACCCTGGACCAAATGCTGCTCCAGTTCTACTCAACAAAGCTAAACTGATCAGAGCAAGTTTTCTGCTTCCAAATGCCTGTACCGAGGTCCAGAAAAGTGTTTGGTGGTATGGGCAGAAATAAAAAAATATCAAGAATGGAGCGCAATAAAATTCCTAGCATCTAACATCCAAGGGAGAGGATCTTCGAAGAAGCCAGGAAGGAAGGAAGTGGAGAGGAGGGGAGCCGAAGAGTAATAACCTTTCAAAGGCACATTGGTCGCCACTTGTTTCTTCCAGCTAAGCCCCGTCTCCTTATCACTCATTTGGCTATGAGTTCATCAGTGAGTTAAATTATTGATGAGGGACAGAGCCTGAGTTAGCCACCAATGGCCAATAATTATTCATATCTACAAACTGTTTTTGTTTTGTTTTGTTTTTTTGAGACAAGGTTTCTCTGTGTACCCCTGGTTGTCCTGGAACTCACTATGTGGACCAGGCTGGCCTCAAACTCAGAGATCTGCCTGCCTCTCCCTCCCAAGGGTTGTGATTAAAGGCATGAACCATGATGCCCAGCTCTTATCTATAAATTGAAACCTCCATAATACCCTTAGAAGAAGGGGTGCAAGAAGACTTCGGGTTGGTAAACAAACTCATTTGCACATCAGAACAATGAGATGTGAGTAGGTTTTCTCACCGCTGTGGTCATTATCTGACAAGAAGCAAATAGGGGAAGAAAGGTGGTTCCTTTAAGTTTCAGGGTATAGTCCGTGATGTCGGGGAAGTGCAGTGGGTGTGTGGGTCTTAGCTGTGCCATCAGCAGTGTGAACTGCTCAATAAACCTTGGGGTAGAGGAGAAGGAAGCTCAGCTGGGTCAAGCTACAGACCTCAAGTTCTGACCCCTCCCCAGTGACTCACTTCCTATAGCTAGGTCCCAACCCAATAACTAGTGTCTCTGTCTGAGGACCAAGTACACTTTTGAACATATAAGCCTGTGGGGACATTTTACATTCAAGCTGTAACAGATAGCACACTCCCTGATGGGACAGAAGCTCTAATGTAAAAGGCCCCACAGGACCCTGCCCCAGATGCCTTTTTATCTGGATGCATGTGCTTTGTTATGTGCTTCTTTTTTAACATTCCTTGTCATGAAGCTGTATAGAAAAAAGAAAATGGGGGCTCAGAAACATCAATATATTTCTAGTCACATAAACCCATTTATATTAATTATAAGCTTACCTGCAGGCCTTTGACTGTCAGGTTCCTTACTATAGGTGGAGACGACGCAAGAGGAGCAGGTCAGATGTAGAGATTAAATATTGAGTTTCCCTTCTGTGTATAGGTGGATAGTGTCATATAAGAGCGTCATTATCATATTTATTATTAATCGAGACCGCATTTATTATACATAACGAAGTGCTGTCGTGTGTTTTCCATCCAGCAGAGGGTGCAGGGAAATGGTGACAATGTTATTTCTTCTTTGACATAGTCTGTTTTTGATTTTTTTTTTTGAAACAGGATATTATTATGTAGCTCTGGCTGGCCTGGAACTCTTGCTGTAGATCAGACTGGCTGTGAATTCATAAAGATCCCCCTGCCTCTGCCCCTTGATGCATGTGCCATCATGCCTGGCTTTTCCTCCTGCCTGCCTTCTTGGAGTCCCATTCTACTGTCTTCATACTTTGAACATGACCCTTATGTGTTCATTAGAGACTTGCAGTGTATCACAGTTAACTTATGTTGACTGGAGCATAACTAAAACTGAAAGAAAATGAGTCACTAAGTACGTTGTCCCATAACAGAGTTCACTGGAGAAGCAGAACCTCTCTGGTGATAGAGTGAGCAGTTTATTGTGGACATACTCGCTCACAAGGCATAGGAGCTAGTGATGTGACCTGGGCCTGGTGCTGGCCTCTCTGAAGCCAGTTCTCTTAACCTCTGAGCCATCTCTCCAGCCCTGGTCTTTGTCTTTCAAAGACTGGATCACCTCATTTAACTCTACTTAGAACTCCTTCTACTTTCTTGAATCTTTCATTTTTCTCTTAACAACAAAATTCCATTGTATAAATATATACACCACATTTTCATTATCTATTCTTGTAGATAGACAACTAGCTGGTTCTATTTCCCTGAGGTTGTGAATTGAGCAGCATAAAACATAGATATGTAAGTATCTCTATGGAAGGATGAAGAGTGCTTTGGGTATATGCCCAGGAGTGGTAGAGCTGACCTAGCATACTTTTTAAAAATGGATACAATATCTCCAGCATGATATAGATATTAAAAGTAACATACAGTAAAACATTATTCTAGTTTCCTTTCCATTACTGTGATAAAACACCTTGATAAAGAAGCAAATTTGAGGAGAAAAGGGTCTATTTCAGTTCAGAATTCTAGGTTATAGTTCCATCCTATCTGGAAAGTCAGAAGAGCAGGCATTTTCAGCATCACAGTAAGGGCAGAGAGAAATGAGCACACAGATGTTTACCTGGTGCTCAGGCCCCTCTCCACACAAATAACAGTCTAGGACCCCCTGCCTATGGGATGGTGTCACCCATATTGGGCTGTGTGTTCCCATATCAATTAACGTGATCAAGACAATCCCCACAGGCAGGTCAGTGGGCAAATCTAATCTAGTAAATCCCTCACTGAGACTCTAGCCAAATGAGTCCACATTGTTTCAAGTTGACAATTAAAACTAACCATCACAGACACTATATTTCAATGTGTGGTATGTCCAGGTATGGCTACTGGGAGGCACAATTACGCCATTTTGAACTTACATCTGTATAGTAGTCATTATGAAAACAACATGTACAGAAGCATCCTGGTTCAGGTGCATGGACTGCAGTGTTTTTACTCTCAGCTGCAAAGCAGCCTTTGTGGCTTTTACTTGGACATCAGATGAGAAGTTTAAAAATGACGACTGTGGAACACCTCCTTTTCCTTTCAGGAGGTCTTTCATTCCTGGCCTTTGTCCACCTCACATGCCAATAGCTCCTCTTGCCTATCTATAGCATCTACTACTGTGGAAATGTGCTTGGTTTTATCTAAAACAATCACATGCCCTCCCCAAGACCTACTGAGTTATATACACATCAAAGATGTGTACATATTAGCAAAAGAAAAAAAAATCTTGTAAGAGAATGTTTGCAGTAGCATTATTCCTAATGTCCACAAATGGAAACTCAAAGGCTCAGCAGGGGAATGGGTAATAAAAACAAACAAACAAACAAACAACAAATAAACAAAAACTTGTCCTTTATTCACACAGAAACGTGCAAGTCAAAATGACAAATAGCTTTTGTCATGCACGGGCTGACCCGTGCATGATTAGCAGGAGGGAGACCACTAAAGTCCTCTGTGGAAGGTTTATCTCATTCCCTTCTCTATAGGGAAGGGGAAAAACGAGAGGAGGAAATTAAAACCATACACTCAGGCCTTCATTCTCCAGCCCCCCCCCCCCCGCCCCATTTCCTAAGAGGGGAGTCTAGAAACAAAACAAAGCAAAGTCAAGAAATAAATTTCAGCTAAAACTCAAATCCTCAGTCAGATCCATAGAGGCTCACCCACATCGCCGTTGGCAAAACGCATCGTTCCCTCCCCTGCACCTGAGGGGAGGATGATTGTAAAACGGACCACCTTTAAGGCCAAGTCTCCTCGCGCCCTGGGTAGGAAGGAAGGAACAATGTTGTTTTTTAATTCACTTCCTAAAGCGGCTGTCTGGGAGATTACGTTGCCTGGCCCTGAGGCCCTAGCAAGCCCTAGCAACCCAGTCTTTGTTGCGTCACAGCCACGCTTTCAGCCCTGCCTTTCCCGAAGCCTTCTTGGTTCAGCGACCCTCCAGCCCTCCATGTGCCCGAGGCCCTCGCTGTTTGGGTGGGCGTGGATCTGCACTTCTGGCTTAGCGAGGGACAGCGCTCTGGCTTCGCGTCGGGGGAAACAGGTTATCCGCGAGCCAGACCACCAGGGAGGGACGGCGGCAAAGAACGTGTATTTAAGAAAGAATATCGAAACATTTCAAGACTTTTAAAGCACACCCCAAATTCCGGGCAAAGAGGGCTGGAGGGTGGGAAAGGCACTTTAGTGCAAATTCCATCTAACGAAGAAGAGACTAGCCATAGAGAACCCACCACGGAGTCGACCGGGACCGGAGATGTTGGACAGGGTTGCCCCGGCTTTTCAGGACCTGTGCAGGCAGGTGCTGCCCACACTCCCTTCGCTGACCCAAGAGGGTAAGTGGCTTACCGCAGGGACTGGGGGCTGGACCTCACTGCGCCTCCAGCGAGACTCGGAGCTTGTTTCCCTACGGCCAGGCTTGGGCCAGCTCAGGTGTTGTTTTTGTATTTTATCTCAGGGTTTTTATTTAAAAAAAAAAAAAAATCCCCTGTAGTCCCAAATGACACCTTTTCAGGGTTCACGAAGGGCTCAGCCATTAGTACTGCCCCTGGAGTCTTGCAGGTGTGTTAACGAAAAGTGATGCTATAATTACATTTATGATTAGCCATTATAATGGGAACAATTACTGCTTCTTCCATTTCTCTAGCATCATTCCCAGTTGTTCCTGTCAAGTTTCTGAAAGAAGTAGAAAACAGTTTTATGACTTTAAAAATATTTTCTACCTTCTCCCCATACATATTCCTTCAAGCGTTTTTAAGTCCTACTGTGTGCTGGGCTCTAGAGAACTGGTGGTGACCAAAAGCCCCACCATTTACAATCAGTGGGGGAAGGTACACATTAATCAAAACACAAATAAATATCGATTCAACTAAATGATGCCAAGGAGGAGGTAGATGATAAAATAACTTAAAAAAAACAGATTGTGTGTGTGTGTGTGTGTGTGTGTGTGTGTGTGCGTGCATTTCTGTGTGTGGAATTCAGAGGAAGCCACAAGATGGTGTCCTGTCAGATATCCTGGAGCTAGAGTTACAGGCAGTTGTAAGAATCCAGACTTGGGTGCTGGGAGCTGACCCTGGGTCCTCTTAAGCTGTCCTGGAACAGCTTAACTGCTGAGCTATTTCTCTCGCTCCACAATAAAAACTTTAAAGGTTAAGAGGAAGGTAGAGAGATTCCTCACAGACTCGAACAGCATCCCCAAAGTCTCACCATCTCCCATTAGAGCGGGCACAGTTTTTAAGAATGATGAGCTTGCTTTGACTTTGTATCCACCCTGCCTATAGCCTGTGTTAGGGCCCCCTGCTTGGAGTCTTGCTGGCCTGAAAGAGCACACCAAGGTGGCCTCTTGCTTACAGAGCTCTGCTTTTAACATTTTGTTGGCTATTTTGTGTTTTGCTTCTCCATGTGAGCTTGACAATGAGGTTGTCGACATTTGAAACACAGCTCTCTGGAAAGCTGAGACTACGCTGACTCCGTAGAAACCTAACATCTTGACAATGCTGAGCTTTTTTTTTTATCCACAAAATATTCTACCACACAGCTCTTTGAGTTTTTCATCAGTTTGTTAAATATTTTCTCATAGATTTTATACACGTTTTTAAGATCTATACCCAAGTATTTAAATTTTTTAGAATTCTAATATAAGTTGTATTGTGTTTAGTTTTTAAATTCTCCTTATTTATTGCAACTATATAGAGAACATTTTTTATTAACCTTGTTAATTATGATTTAATTGTGAAATAACCCCCATAAGCTTATATGTTTGAATACTTAGATACAGCTGGTGGCACTGTTTGGGAAGATTGTATGACCTAGTTGGCAAAGATCAGTCGTTGGGACATTCTTTTGAGGGTTATAGCATGGGTCCCACTCTTGGACTGGACTCTCTGCTTCCCTATTCACACCAGAGATCCCTGCCATCACAGGCTGAAACATTCCAGTCCTGTGCCTGCTCTGTCATGATGGCCTACACCCTGAGTCAAAATAATCCTCCCGTCTTCTGTTCTTTTGTTGAGTATAGAATATTCCAAGAAGTGGAGTCATTCTTGCAATAAACCTGATCATGGGGGTGCATAGACTTTTGCAACTGGCTTATAGGAGTCTTGTAGAAAAGTTCAGAGTTGTGTGTCAGAGAAGCCCCTAGAATGTTTTCAGAGATTAATGGTCCATTCCGGTGAGAGAAGACCAAAATGTGGATAGGAATGTGGAAAATAAGAGACTTGCTCACGAGATTCAAAAAGAGAAACCAGACTGTATCAGGAATTGAGTGAGAGGCCATTTGTGTTGAAGTCTGCGGTGGGGGTATATGTGGAGTGGTTATGTTCTGCTCATGTGCTGGAGAATTGACTGAGGGTGAATTCAAGAAGAACACAGTGATTTACTCAGTGGAGGGAGTTTCAAGATGGGGTAACATTCAGGCTATGCCATGGTCAGTTCTCACTACTGATTTTTAGCTTGATTTAGGGTGAGAACTTAAAGGAAACAAAATAGAGCAGAAAAGAGGTGAAGAACATCTAGCTGTGTAGCAAAAGAGTTGGAAAGGGTTCAAGTTTGCTATAATTGTTAAAGAACACCCTACCCTTTATGCTGGGACCACGTGCAAGGTGACTAGAGAACGACTCATCTAAGGCTCTGGGGTGTGAGGAGGCAAGCCCATTAGAAAAAAAAAACGCTCTTCTAAAAAGATCATTGAAGAGGTGTCCTCAGACTTCAGAACAACAGTCTTTCCCTTTCTTCTCCCCATCTCTAACTTTATATCCGGCCATACAATCTCGCTCACGCACAAACATTCCCACCATCACACAAAGGCCAAATCACTGTGGCTGCTTGATCTTGAACCTGGAACACCTCCAAAACTCTGAGCTAAGCAAGCCTTTCCTGTTCAGAGTTTTTAGTCCCCTCAGAGGTTTTAGTGTACTAATACAAAGCCAGTGAACACACTAGTTTTCCGAGTCTTTTTTTGTAGGAGTGCTGGATTTTGTTAAATGTAACCAGACCTTTCCTTTTCCGCCTGATGTCATAGACCACATTTAAACCGATTTTTAGATGGGGTTGAAACCACTTTCATTCTGAGAGTTAGTGTTAATCTTTCTAAAGGTTGGTCGTCAGAACAAGTTGTTTAGAAATTCTAATTGGCAACATTTATAAATCTATTCTAATTGAATTGAGGAGGCCTAAAGCCTCTTTCTCCAGTGAGAAATGGCAAACCTCAGTTTAAATAATTAACTTTACTTTTATGTAACTCTGCCTGCCCTACTTTATTGACTAAAACATTACAACAGACTTGGATACATCATCTCCGTGAACAAAGACCATGCTCAAATTCCCAGTTAAATCAAAGACTTTTCATCAGGATTTGGTAACAAAGCATACAGTTTCTCCTGGCCCTGGTTAAGCCACTTCCTCAGATATCGATAATTTGCCTGAAATATGAGCGGCATGTTATGTCTAGTCATAAATTCTATCAGTTTTGACATCATAATTCTAAAATTTCTCCATGTAAGTCTGGAGAGTGAGAATTTTGTTAGTGAGTTAGTGACATTTATGTTTTCACTGAGAGTTTTAGATCGGTATATAGTTGGGATTGATTGACAGATATAATTCTACTTTGACTTGAAGGCTTCCTATGTTTATTCTATCTGTCTGTCTATCTATCTATCTATCTATCTATCTATCTATCTATCTATCTATCTATC